TGTAATATATTTTCTTAAACATCTGGCATTTTGTACTCCATATAAAGTAAAACTTTGTAGTAAAATCGTGAGCATCGCTCTGCTTGCCTAGGAAATTAATGCAAGTTACTCCAGTTAGTGCATCTGTGGCATCTCCTTCCTGTGTGACTGAATGTTTCCAGTCTAGGGCAATTATTTTGCTCTCCCTCTTCACTGGCAAATTCTTGATAGAATATTGACATGATACTGTACAGTTATTAAAACATTTACACCATAAAAAGGGAATCCTTGCATTGTTTTCCTGTATTTTCTTTGAAAACAAAGATGAAGAGGGCATGCAATAACTTGTATAACGAAACTGCATTTCGTACAATATTTTTAATATGGGGAGTCACATTAGAGTAACAATCGCTGCTAATTAGTATTATGAACCCCTGCTATTGAACTGGTACTGTACAATCTGTTATTATGTACTGTCCTATAGATCATCTGTTCCTCGTGCTGGTCTATTCCAATAATAGACAGGCAGCTGCAACACTGTATCCCTGTTCAACCTGACGACCATCTGACTTTAATTGTAGTGCACAGCTTGATGCAGGTCTGGTTATGAGAAGCCAAAGTATCACAGCGTAATAATCTGGAAAAGCAGAAAACTGCCAGGCACAAGGCTGAAACAGAGGCTAGGACTGTCTAGTTGGCGGATGGGATGTAGGAAATATGATTAATGAGCAAGGTATAATGATATCAAGAACCCGATTAGCACCACAAAAAGGTCACAGATCAAAGCAGTATGCATTTCATGGGGTCCAATCACTGCAGGAAAATCTGTGATAGCTTTCATGGGCACTTACAACTATATTATAATTTCTTATGATCTAGGACATTGCAGGAATGTAATAAATGGATAGTTTTCACTCTGTTACATTCCTGGGAAGGAACATGTGCTGTTGTGAATTCTTTTTCAAAGTATTAAAACAAATATATTCTTATAATTTTGCTCACTACTCATGTTTTTATCATCTTATAAAACCATTAATGAGACAGCCAACCAATACAGTAATTGGTACTGTATAATTACAAAAGCAGAACATATTTTTGTAAGACCAGAAAAGAATTCATTAATCATGTAATTGTTTATCTTATTTTGTATCATTCATACTCAGTATGTGCAAGACCTTGCATACAGAGCAAAAATAACTTGCAAGGCATCTTATATGCAGGCTTTTATCCACACCGGCCTATGGAATATGTTTTGATATACTATACTTTATCTGCTTAAGAATAAGCAGCTATGACAAATTCCAGTACAGTACCAGTTTCTGCTAAGTGGAAAGTCCTGGGAGCATAGTAGCACAGGATCACACTGCTTGCACAAGTGACCAATGGCAAGCAAAGGATGGTTTTCTTAATGGAAATCACAGGGCTCTTAGTCTTGCATCAAGGCACTAACTAAATGCAGATATGCTTTGCTTCTAAAAAAAACACTGTGTTATGGCCTCTATAAATGGTCTTCTTTAATGTTACGAGGGACTTTTTACATTGTTACAATTTTTTTCTATAGTGAGGAAGTAGCTCTTTATATTGACTTTATATTGTTAATAGATATCTAAGGGACCACTTCAGTCTATCTTGGTCTTCAAGAGAATAGTAGAGAAGGACCTATATTGGAGGTCACAGCTATATATTGTCAAGTTGAAACAAAGATATGCAAGGTAGAATTCTCAGTTTTTACTCCTAGTTTTAACTTGTAGACCATTATAGATCATCCTAAAAGGAGAAAATAGGGAAACCAGGCAAGTTGCTCACCCTATAGCCCATCATATTGCCCTGAGGGGAAAAAGAAAGAAGGTATAATGCCAAGGGACCTTCTCTGCATCCGATTCTCTAGATGAAGCAGCACTTCCTTCTCCAAGTGTCACTGCTGGGATAGCTGAAGACTCTCCTGGCTTGAAGGGAGGAAGGAAAGAAAACAGAACAGCTGCTGGAGTTGTCCAAGATCTAGTTTCTAGTGTTCCAGCTGCAGCAGTTTTTCCATCTTCTACCTCAAGGCCATTTAAAGGACACGTTCAAGCTTCATATTCTAGGATCTGCAGAGCTGGAAGGGACCCTATGGATCACTGAATCCACCTCCTGTCAAGGAGGCACAGTGGGGAACTGAACTCCCAACCTCTGGCTCTGCATCTAGATACCTAAACCACTGAGCTATCCAGCAGGTATTTTACTGAGGAGAGGAGAATCTGGCTTTCAAAACTCATTTTCCTCTAATAGCCTCTCTTTACTACTTTTAGTGCTAATTATTTTAATATTAAGTAAATTGCTGTTGGCGTTTTCCTCGTGGAATTACGTTTTTCAGCAGTTTCAGCAGAGTACATGGCAGTCTAGGCAGTCCAGCAATAAACACACGCAGTCCGGCAGCATTTCGTGCAGCAAAAGTGTATTTACAGCAGCAGCATGACAGGCATATGTGATCTCCAACCAAGTGAAGATAATACTGACTGTACAAGTCTACATATATACATTTCCACAATCAATCACAATACAGATTACATCACTGTGCTCCCAATTTGATTTTTTTTTTAGTTGTAAAGGTGTCAGAATATTTGGTTTTTGATAAGTTTTTGCTGAAACATACTAACACGGCTATTTCAAAGTTTATAGCAGTGATTATTTGTTCAGTAACCTCGCTCCTATCAGACTTTTCCTTTTTATTTACCAGTGTCATTTCAGCAACAATTCCAATTAGGCAACATGATTTTTGCACAGAATCAGAAACTAATCTAGCTGAAATACTAAGAATACCACTGTGATATTTGAGAGCTCATTTCTCTTTTGCTAAATACAGTTAAAAAAACACATCAAGTTTTTTTAACAAATTCCCATACAATTCATACATCAGCTGAAATCCTGTTACTTAGCTTAGTGAATTGCACTAGAGTATTACCCATTGGTTCAGTGGGGATTTTAAGACTTAATTCCTCCATAGTTTTTTTCAATGGGTCTATTCTTGTTACAACGGACGATGCTAAGCAAAGGGATTTCAGCCATTGTTTTGAAGGTATTCTTGTAATGATGCCATTATTGCTGTGTGCAAAATTCATTGATTCTCCTATATAAGGGATCTAGAAATTAAATGTTATTATTTTGGTTGTTGGGAAACAGAATCCTATCAATTACTACTCCAAAAAATTAAAATTATCTATCTGCTCTATGATCGAGCCACAGAATCAACCCATTATTCATAAATTCAGGGCAGTTTCTTACCTAAATGGCACTCACCATTTATTTAATTTTTAACAGCGAAGGAAAGCAGAGATGTTCATTTCATCTTGAAAGTGGTAAAATAATGTCAAGATTCTCCACACAAGTATACATTACTAATTTCCACTTCAGTTTCATATCTTCTTTATTTAGAACTACATCTCATTACATTCAGTGGGACTTACTTCAATGAAAGTGATACTATATAGGATTGCAGCCTTATTTTAAAAGTCAGTCAATATGAGCTTTGTGAATGCCAATTAAAAAACCTCACCCTCCACCATGCAGCACCTCAATTGCCTGAATCAAAGCACTCAGTTTCCATGTAGAGTCAGCATTTTTCTTGCATGCTGGTTTCATGGGGAGAACCATGGAACCAAAACATGATGGGAATGGGAGTCTCTGAAGTCATCTGCTTCACAGTGCAGATGACCTCATATCTTGGTTCCAAAGAAAAGAAGCATGTGTTGCAGAGACAGCTCCTTGATTCAGGAAATGCAGGAGCTGCCTCCTCTTGTTTCTCTAGCAACAGGTGGTAGAGAGCTTTTGTTCCCCCCCCCCATGCATTCAGTAGGTGGCAATGGCATTTCTCAACAATGGGAGAGGCAGCATTTTGCTTCTCACCACAGGTAACAGGAAAACGTCAGCTGAACATCTTCATTGCCTTTAGCTCATCAGATGACTGCTATGCTCTATAAACTTGGCTTCCAGGAGCATAGCCCCAGTTGCTTCATACTACTTATGGCCCTACAGCTAAATCTCAGCATATTTCCCTGATTATGTGTGTTTTACCATAAGCTTTTTAATATAAAAACCCATCAAGCATATTAACAGAAGTATTTTCAATTTAATGGGACTTAATCCAAAATAAGGGGAGAGATACAGCCAAAGCGCGTGTGAGATTTGGGATGACATAGTAGACAAAGTGGTGGACTAAGACACAGGAGAACTGGGTTCTAATTCCTCCTTGACGTGGAAATTCATTGGGGGTATGTGACAATTATAACCATTATTTTAACATCTCATATATAGTACCTTGAAAATCCAAGTAGGGTTACCTTAAGTCAGAAGCAACTTGACAGCACAGAACAGTAACAAGTACATGAACTAATCAAATACTCCTTCCATAATGTTTCAGATAATTTTTTAAAAATTACCAGACTGCAATAAATGCCAGGATATCAGTAACAGACTCAAGAGTGCAGATACCCATGAATGTGAGAACTCAGAAAGACTAAATATTCAGCTTGCAAAAAATCAAGTGAACTGAAAAATGGCAAGCATTTGTTTTGAAATTCTACACTTTTAATATGTTATAGTTAACACACACAAGGGTTATTGCTTCTTTCTAGTGGCACTAATCAAATATCTGATGTGAAAAGGTGTGTCTATTTCTCACTACTCTAGGATGCACTAGTAATTTCAGTGACTCTGTATTTAAGAGGCCAAAGCATGTCATAGAACATCTGAAAACTTGTTTCAGAAAGTGCTAGGTGAATAGGTACATCAAAGCAGAGAGAAAAGCAAACTAATAGATTAACAGATTTTACAATTTCATCAGAACAAATGAATTCATACGAATCAGCGTGAGAACTGTTTAAGCTGGCTCAGAAATCCCATTAGGCATTCCCAAACCCAAAAATACCTCTTCAAAGTCGAGCCTACATAAATTCACAGAAAAAAAGAGGACAAATATAATACTCCAAGGAAAGACATTTTGTACTCCATCTCTTAGAATATTCAATAGTTGAAGACTATCTTACCAATCTGTTTATGCGAACAAATTCTTCTGAGGTTTTGGCCCATGGTGGAAGTTCAACATCAGACACTACTGTTCCATCATCCATCACTCCGAGATTGTAATTATTGAAATTGACAAACATCTCAGGGAGGTAATAAAATTCAGGAATAAGCTCCTGTATGGAATTGAAAAACAGTGGCATGTTATAAATCGGGTTTGTTGAAGTGTCCCCATTATGGGAGCACTGCTATTAATAAGAGAAAGAGGAGTGCAATGGAAAAGTATTTAGAACATTTTACTAACACATTTAGTTTTCCAGTACATAATCTATCATCTATTAATTTCTACATGCATTTGATATTCAATGCATCTCTATAGTGACACAATACAATACAATAACGCAGAATGCAGAATGAAAAACTGTCCTGAAATAATGTATTCCTGAAATACCTGTGGTATTGGATTGTAAATGAGTAAGAAAAACACCCTGTTGGAACTACAAAAGCTAACCCTCAATAAAAAAAACTTATAGTGGGGGCTGAAAATATTTTATATTCATAAAATATAAACCCACATTCCATATTTAGAATTATTCTAGATACTAAAGAATATTATCAAATATATACCACACTTCATCCATTTTAATGTACTCCTTAAATAGATCCCATTTCCAAATGCTAGTAGCTGAGTCTTAGAAAAGATACTTGCATTCTCAAGAAACAGCCATGGGAAAGGTTTTTTAACACATTAGACACCATTATATTTGCCTCTCATGCCAGTTACAGTGGTTACTATGTCTAACTGAGAAGTATGATGTATGCAAGCAACTCCTGCTCCTGATGAAGACGATGTGGACTTATATATTTTGGCTGGAGGATTGCCTAGATAGTAGGAATCGCTCAAAGCAAGCAAGAAAGTCTTTATTGTTCTTCTCTGCAGAAGCAACTTCCAAGAGCCAAAAATCACAGGCCAGAATCTTATTGGAGCCTCATGGTGCAGTGGTTAAACAGCCATACTGCAGCCATAACTATGCTCATGACCCAGGGTTCTATCCCAGATAGCCAGCTCAAGGTTGACTCAGCCTTTTATCCTTCTGAGGTCAGTAAAATGAGTACCCAGTTCAGGGGAGGGGCACAATGTGTAGCCTGCATAATTAACCTGTAAACCAACCATCCAGAGAGTGCTTTAAGTGTTATGGGGTGGTATATAAGCAGCACACATTGCTTTTGCTTTTTTATTGGTGTGTGTGTTAAGTTTGTATAACTTGCTGAAAATAATTGTGGTTCATTGATGTAGTGAGACATGTCTCATCTGCATAGCTGGTCATCAATTAGCTCTGACTACCCATATCATGTTATGCAAACTTTATGCAAACACCAATAGGTTATAACTTGAAGTGTTATAAGGCTAGAAGTATTGAATGCAGCATTATTAGTGAACTCCAGTACTAAGTTGGATCCAAAGATTTTGTTCCATTAGTGGATTTCTTCTGAGAGCAACTTCTGTGAGCAGTAGGGAATCTCTAGGTACAGATTCCAAATGGATTGTTTAAACGTACTTTTCTGAATAGGTTTGAACTGAAAGAGTTTATGTGCAGTTTGTTCTACACAACAACCCAAGCCAAGCGGTTCTCTAATGTAACAGGAGATTAGCTATTTCTGTACATCATTGTTCATATTTCAACACTTTGGTTACATGTTCTGTATCCATATCCCTATCTGAAACCTATCTATCAAAGCTACATTTATAGGTGTTTCCATGATGTGACCCTAATGTTAATGAGTATAAAGCGGCCTCCATATTTATAATATTTGGGGTTATATCCTGTAGTTCCCATTAAACTGATCCACTAGTAGAAAAACAGTGCTTTTCCATAGTCCCTGCACACAACTGTATACCCTGCTCTAGATAGTTCTCCAAACCCCCAGAGCAGCTTTGGAAGGGCAGCGGCCTGCAAGGTGAGGAAGCAATAAAGGAAAATACCTTCTCTTCATTCTCTTGGTTATGTATTTTCTTGCCAAGAGAGTCCTCAACACTGAATGTAATGCCCTGAGTTTATGATATGATAGTAAGATATGAATGTAAGCATATGTGCCCCCGTTGGCCTCATTCAGACTGAACATTAAATTGGATTTATCAGCACATGAATGAACCTTAAGGTTGTACCCTCCCCTTCCTCTTTTCTTGTTGGGTGGCCACAAGAATAAGACCTTATGTTTTCGTTTCTGTTTCCAAATAATCTTGTTTGCTTCCCAATATATCTCAATCCTAAACTAATTACTTAATTAATTAATAATTTTAACTCCATTAAAACTGGAGGTTGGAAGTGACTCATTGCATGTAATATCTACCTCTCATTAGTTTCTTTTCAGGTAACAAGCACTGTAATAAGTCGTTATAAAATCTCAGTACAAATACTACAAGAAGTAATAATTAAGTTATATTTGAGGTGTAACAAGTAATATTTTCCATTGACTTTCAAACTTTAACTTTGATAGCTCACTTTTGGAAGCAATTTGGCAGGAATGTAGATTTTATGACTTTTCTAACTAGCAAAGGATGCATTCTCTTTTGGCTTTTCATGAGTATTTGTGATGTGCAATTTTAGAATTGGCCACTACCAAGAACAAGAGACTATTTCAATGCATGGGGCGTGGGGTGAACGTGATGACAAGGTGATGCACTGATAACACAGAATGCAACAGATTACCTGCATGAATTAAACTTTCACCCACAATAACAGTGTGACTACTGAGAAATAATGCAACAAGCTTCTTTTGAAAAAGTGACATTCCAAGCTCTGATCGAAATAAAGTCAGATTTATCTCTATAGCTTGAAGTTTGCTTGTTCCTTATTAAGTCTGCATAATAAAAAAATAACCACATTCTGTCCTGGTTTAAATATAATAGCAGTTAGTTGAAGAAACAGAAGCAAAAGTATTTTAATGTAAATGAAGCTATTAATTTAGGATTAAGTTTGAATCAAACCATTGTCCCATTGTGTTAATTTCATGTGAAAGGGCCAGGTCTATCAAAACTTTTTTCTTAACAATGTAGATATTTTTCTTCAGCTTCAGTGACCTTCATTGTTATGCAGCTTCATTCTATCCCCTTAAAGCAACCTATGCTTTGAAATTACAACATCATGCTTGTTTATTCTAATCCATTAAAACAGCTAAAATAAACTGCTGAAACTTCACCTGGATGAATGGCCAAACAATTATCTCTGTCAACAAATTGAATGCCACATCTAAGTTTCCAATGACAGCGAGGCCACTTTATGGTAAGAGTAGTCAGTATCCAGTTATCCTTATCTAAACCATTATACCATTATTTTTGAAAATATGTATTTATTGAATAGTGTTTAGTCATAATTGCCTTTTTACTTTTGTGTTTCTTTTGGATTTTCCAGAATAGACGCGTTATACATCATTAAGATACTTTAGCAAGCAAAAGCATAATGAAGCAAAGCAAAGCAACAGATCCATGCAAAATCTATTAATTTCTTGTAGCCTCTACGTCATGAATGGAAAAGCTTAATATTTGTAATTGCTTCAGGAAATGATTGCATAGCAAGTAACTGGTGTAAAATTGGTTTTCCTTCTAACGTGTGAAAATGACTTGCTATTTAATAAGCAGAAAAACACATTATGTGCATTTGCCCTAGTGTCTAACTATGTCAGATTCCCAGTAGAACAGATTTTAAATCCACTCTTGACATGGGTCAATGGATCAGTGGTCTTCCAGATACCACCCTCAGGGTCAACTATGGCCGGAACAGTTTTCAAATAGCTGAGTGCAATGCCAGGTCATCAGATTATGGATAGGGTCAGCCTAAAGTTGCTGAAGCAAAGACAGGAAAAACCAAGCAGGAATTAAGCTATTAAGAGGTTTTAAAACAGTTTTCAGGAAAAATGGGAGGAGGTGGGAGGTGGGGAAGAACTGGGAATAGGTTGGCCAAAATGTAAGGGCCTTTGTTTGCCCTCCCCCACTTCACCAATCTCCCTTTTAGAAACCTTTCAAATTGTAGTAGGGGTGCTATCAATATTAAGTGAAGGAAATACACAAAATATATTACAATGCAATTTAAAATGGGTGAGTCTTTATTGTTCAACATTTTCATGTCTTTCATTACTGCTCAATGTGAGAACTCATAAATGATTTTTGCTTTCAACTCAGAAGTTTCCAAATACGTAGTATTTTTCAGACTTTAATTTTTTAAAAGTGTATTAGCAGGATGCAAAAACATTCCAAACTGTGTATCACATTCCACACTGTGTCTCATTATTTGAAGAGCTCAGGGTTTGTTGCTGATGACAACAAATCTTCTAACATTTTTTCCACAAAAAGCTCCATACTCTAATGAAAATAGTATGGGTCTTTAGTATGTCTCATAGCACGCATAGCACAGAATATCCAAGCTACAAATAAGTTACTCCTCTGGCACAAGAATTCATCCTCATCTTCCAAAACCCTACAATTGCATAAAAGCTTTTAAGATGTTCCAACTGCTGCTCCTTTGGAAGCCTCCCATGTTTGTTCTTCAGCCTATTGCGACTTTAATTGTTGTGTTATACAGTACAATATATGTGGCTTTATCTCTGCTTGATGTAACTGTTTAAATTAGTGCACCAGCTGCACCTGTTCTTGGAGATGTCTGAACTGGCCTTTGATACATCCCATTTGGATTACTATAATATGCTCTACATGGGGATGCCTTTAGAAAGTGTTCAGAAGCTTCAACAGATCCAAAATGCTAGAATCTGATTGTTAACTGAGGCTGATTACAGAGGCTGGTTATTGCCTTAACAATAATTCTCTTGTTAGAGCAGCTCCGTTGCCTGCTGGTCTGTTTCCAGACACAATTCAATCTGTTGGGTTTGATTATAAATCCCTAAATGACTTGGGTCCAAGTTACCTGGGAAACTGTATTTCCATCTAAGAGCCTACCTAGGTTTTAAAATGATCAGGGGAAGCCTTTCTCTTTGTCCTACCTCACAGGTATGTTTGGTGAGGACACAAGAGAGGGTTTTCTCTGTTGGGTTTTCTCAAGCTATGGAACTCCCCCCACAGGATGTCAGGCTGGCCCCCTCTTTGCTATCTTTCCACAGAGCAGGCAAAAACTTTTCTCTTCAGGCAATTTTTTTTCTCGGTGATTGGCTGCCTAAGAGTAGG